GGGTCAAATACAACAACAGATATGAACTTCGGGCGAATATCGTTTTATACTAGACATTTATCAATTATTCCAATAGTAGGATTCATAACATGTAATAATCACATTCTTAAAAGCATTACTAATAGTGTTGTGAAACCCTAAATCACGAGAAGAGGCAGGAGAATGAGTGTCAGACCACACAGACGTGAAGAGACGAGAGAAAGTCCTCCAGTTCTGACGGAAACACGTATGCTGAAAGCTTTCCAAAGGGGAGGCAAAAAGGAAAACAGGAGAAACCAACAGGCATTAAGTAACTCCTTGTGTGGTGCTCTGGGCTGTACCTTTCACAAACATGACTTTGTCTAATCCTCACCAACCACCCTTGCAGTAGATCATTTTAACCCTATTTTACGAGTAAGGATGCTAAAATTTCAAGAGGTGAAATTGTCTACATTTGTAGATGGGGACCTGGATTCAAACCCAGATCTGTATGACATCAAATATCATGGTGGACATCATTGTTTCGTGGTCAACATCCATTGCTGCTCTTCTTTGTTCACAGGACAAAGGTATTGAGCAACTTTGTGTTTCAGCGGCACCTAGCCTTCTTAGCAGCCCCAGGCAGTCAATCTTGACTAGTCTAGTGACCTTTTGCTAGTGACTCGTTTAAGGGTAGACAATGACCCAAACCTGGCCAATGAAACATGAGGGGCGGTCTGCTCTGGAGACTCCTAGAAAAATTCCTCTTGCTCTTAAAAATGGGCCCAAAGAAAAGGGACACTCTTTGGCCTTTGGATACTGTTGTCTCCTGCAGTCGAGAGGGATATAATTGACCTGTTGACATTAAGAGGGAGAAAAGATGGAAAGTACCTGAGTCTATGATTGTGCCTTTGAATTGCTGAATTCACTGGCCTGAGGCTGCCCTAGCTCCAGCCTTCTTGTTACGTGAAATAATATGTTTTCCTTTTTACTTAGGCTACTTTTAATTTTGCAGCCCAGAACATCTTCCCAGATACACATTTCATGCCCTTTAAAAAAAACTGAGATTGAACTGGAAACAAAACAAAAACCACTGCAGCCTGAGAGAGTTTATAGGCAAGCAGACATTGTCCAAGACACGCAAGGAAATAAGTGTCTCAAAGAAAACAGCAAAAGACAGTGGGACAGGACAGTGGTGAGTGTGTTTACAGTGACTGTGCGAGGCCAAAACCTTAATACCAGCTGCATGTTTCACCTCTACTGACACCCTTCCGCTGAGAAGCTTAAAGGACTTAGGGCAGAGGGAGCCCTTTGTTTGGGGGAGGTTCTGATGAATGTATTCTCTTTGCTCCTTCAGTTCTCCTCACAGAAGGTAGCAGCCTTTTGGAATGGCTTCAACCTTGCAGAGAGGAGTGAAAATTGGCCAAGCCGGAAACATATCTTGCCATTCCTTCCTGCCTGCACATTCCACAGTCTGTGTGCATTGCCCAGAACATAGAGTAAATAAAATTACCATTATGTAGAATTGGTTCCTTGAAAACCAGTCTTGTGGGTTCCTGATACTTGGCAAGACTGGTCCAGGTTACTGCAGCTCTTGTCAGTAAAGTAGGTTCTCCTGGGCACAGCTATGGTGGCACTCTGGGCACACTCACAGAAAAACTGAGAAATGTTAGTGTTGCCTCGAACTATAGATCCTTATGGTTGTAGACCAAAGCAGAATTTCTGGAGAATAAGAGTATATATAAATATAAACACATTTATAGATAAACAAAGCAAGATGTCCAACTAAAAAAAAAAATCAGTGAGTGCAGTGTGGAATTAATGGAAATGAATAGAGACGACACAGCCATTTAGACATGGCTACAAATCCTGACTCTGCCATCGTATAGCTTTGTGACCTTCGGTAATTTATCCAGACCTTCTCATTTTCTGTTTCCTCATCTGTTTGTTGAAGGTAATAGTACCAACTTCTAAGGTTTGGAGACATCTTTAGCTCACCTCCTGAACACTTATCTGATACTTACTGCTTTAACACTCAAAGTGGTTTATCCCAGTTAATTCTCACCACCGTATGAGGTAGCTATTTTCTTTCTTTGCCCATTTTGCAGATGTGGAAATTGAGGCCTAGAAAAGGACAAAATAGTTTTTTGAAAGTCACACAGCTTGTGAGATGGAAAGAAGAGTTGAATGCAAGGTTGCTGACGCCATCCATCCAGGCACAGATCAGGCACTGGGGATACAGAGCTGGACGTCTTACCCAGCTCAGGCTCTCCTTTTGTGACCCACACAGGGGAACTTTCCTTTCCTGAGGCTCATCTCCTGCCTCGCTTATAGGATTTCTGAGCACTGACCCATTCTAGTCATAACCCACTCATTTGTTCCTGCCAGAATTTTTTCCTTTTCATAATCCGGCCCTAAGCTAAAGTTAATAGTATTGGGTAAACTTTCGCATCCAAATTTAAGCCTCCTTTGATTGTAGTAGGGTTTCTTCTTTCTAGTGAGATCATCAGTTATTTTAAGAGCTAATGTTGAAGCCTCTAATAGGAGAAGCCATTGCAACAAAGGCTTCTGCCAAAAGCGAAATTGTCCAATTAGAGGTCAACATCAGTGTGCTGGGATGGGTGTGCCTTTTTTGCTTTCTGGGTGGCCCACACACCCTCCCTGCCACTTCACAGACTCAGCCCATCTTGTTCCTTTGCTTTCTGCCTCCATCTTCAGTTAGTGGCTGTCAGGAAAAAACCAGGAACCCTTTGCTATCACCCCTCGCTCACACCCATCCCATCCCAAAACTTGACAAACTCCAAGCAGCAGCCCTTGTGGCTGGTCACTTGGGCTGAATGATCCTGGGAGAAGCCAGAAGTAAGACGACCTGCCATTCTCAGTTCAGTGATGCAGCAGGAAGCAGGAAAGTGCTGTTTAGTACGGCCTGCTACGTACACATGTTTGTCTCTCTCCTCCCCTGGGAGACTTGTGAACAGGGTGGGACTTCTGGGCCACGAATGACCAGTGGAGAACCTGTCTGGAGACCAGGACGAGGTCTGGGTAGTATCTAGACATCCTTGTTAGCTGTTGCATGGGGCCAGGTTTAGAAGATTGGCCCCAGAGAATTCCTTCCCTCCGACTTACCTGATGAGCTGTCCCAGGGGGCCGCAAATCCACTCGGGGTGAAGATTCCCACACTGAAGGCTTCATTAGAATTTATATGATTTGCTGGTGCTGCAAAATCCTCTTTCTAACTGACCACACATTTACAATGTGCTGCTCCTGGGCACTGTCTGCATGCCCTGAGCTGTGTCAAGCATTGTTAACATCTACAGGCTTTGCTCAAGATTGATGTTTTAGCTCATCTGGGTGATCTAGTTTTCCCTTTCACATCATTCCTTCCAGATTGATATTTTTAACTTTATTCTCTCTTTATCTCTTTTCCTCTTCATCCTTTCCTCCCCCCCTCTTCCTTTCTTCCTTCCTCTCTTTTTCTCTTGCATTTTGCTTATCCTACTCATGCAACTCTTGCCAATTCCCCCTGCTGTCACCCTTAGTATTTAAATATAACCTGAATCAGAATAGGGTTTCTTTGGGCCCTGGGCCTGACTGTGAGTCCTGGTTTCCTCAGACCACCTGTTCCTATGTCAGCTATAGAACAGAGGCCTCCAGGTCCTGAGTAAGGCTGATTCTTATGTAGATGGGGGCAGCCCGGGGAGTCCCAGAAATTGTGACACACAGCCAGGTGTGGGTCACACTGCATGACCCAGCTTAATATTGCTTACCCTGGAAAGCTTTCTCCAAACCCACAGTTCCCATTTCAAGCTGGCTTCAAACATCCCTCCTCTGCCCTCCCTCAGCTCCCATTGCATTGCTCTTACTCTTACTTGTTTGTCTCTCCAAATAGACAGCAAGATCCTGTGGGCAAAGCCTGGATGTCAAACATCTCTGTACCCCTCGTGCCTAGCACATTGTGTGGCAATAATAAGTGCCCAATAAAATGTTTGTTGATTCAATAAATGAAGGAGGTGGATTTGTGAATTCTCTTTGGAAAACACTAGTTCAAATCTCACTTCATTTTCTTCTCTTTGGGAAGAAATTCCTGGGCTATATCAACATATACTTGATAAAAATGATGGATAAAGCACATTACAAAAATAAGCGGTATAGAGTTAATCAATTTAGAATACCCCAAGCTACTTCATTTGGAAACTGTTAAAGCAATATATTCCCAATAGACCATCAAACAAGAAATACCAGAGTTTTTAAAATTTGTTTGTTTTTAGCAAAGGCTGCTGGAGAGATGCATTGTGTCTCTTGCTAAGGATCTCAAGTTCTGAGTTGTTTGGGTGATCAGGTATATTATAATTGATGCCCTAAATTCCATAGAGTTATAAAGGTGAGGAAGAGAAAATTTAAGGGATAGCCAAAGAAACCTCTGAACTACTGGTGGGAGTGCAAACTGGTGCAGCCGCTATGGAAAACAGTATGGAGATTCCTCAAAAAATTGAGAATAGATCTACCATATGATCCAGCTATTCCACTGCTGGGTATTTATCCAAAGATCTTGAAAACATGAATGTGTAAAGATACATGCACCCCTATGTTCATCGCAGCCTTATTCACAATACCCAAGACTTGGAAGCAACCTAGGTGCCCATCAACGGACGAATGGATAAAGAAGATGTGGTATATATACACAATGGAGTACTACTCAGCCATAAGAAATGATGAAATCTGGCCATTTGTGACAACGTGGATGGAACTTGAAGGTATTATGCTGAGTGAAATAAGTCAGAGGGAGAAAGTCAAATACCATATGATCTCACTCATAAGTAGAAGATAAAAACTACAAACAAACACATAGAAACAGAGATTGGATTGGTGGTTACCAAAGGGGAAGGGGGAAGGGAGGAGGGCAAAAGGGGTGATTAGGCACATGTATGTGGGGATGGATTGTAATTAGTCTTTGGGTGGTGAACATCATGTAATCTACACAGAATTCGAAATATATTACAATGTACACCTGAAATTTATATAATGCTATTAACCAATGTTACCACAATAAAAAAAAGAAATTAAAAAGACAAAAAAACAAATAAAAGTATAGATATAAAGGTATGGTCAGACTGTGTTCCCAGACTGTGTAATGTCCTTACAAATGCTGCTTCCTCGTCCTGCGTGCTTCCCTCTCTTGGAGTCAGCTGTCATCTTCACCTTTTCAGTCCTCTGCATTCATTCTTCATCTCTGCCTCCTTCTAGCTTCCAGCTTTGACCGGCCTCTTCCGTAATCTCTTTTCCAAAATATGTCTCCGGAGGAGTAAATGGTAGGGATGCCTCTTAGAGATCAACCAGCAAATGCCCTGAGCATCTTTACACATCTACCTATCTCTGACAAGCTGCCAGATATAAGTGATTTTCTCAGCTTAATGGATGATATGTTCCTCTTTCTCTAAGAACAATCCTAGAATTTGCTGCAGCAAAATTCATAGGCTACTTTTAGAAGCTTTGTAATGGGTTGCTACCAGTTGACAACATTTTATCTTGGTTTCCTTGAGAGGAAACAATCATGCAATTAGATGTATAAGCAAAATTTGCTTTCTGATGCCAGGCTGGCAAAGATCACAGTCCCTGGTACTGGTCTGGAAAAGGCATCAGGATGAAAGTTTCTGATTTATTACATCTCTTGGAAATAAATAGTTGACATATTAATGTGTGTGTGTGTGTGTGTGTATGTGTGTTTCTGCCAGAGTAGAAGCAACAGATTGCACGAATGCTTGCTTGAGCTGAACTCACCTTGCCAGTCCTCAGCTCTCTGGCAGTTAACAAAAAGGTTTTAAGATAGAAACTGGACTATTTAGCCTTCATTAATCATTCATACTGTTCAAACACATCATCCAGTAACTGAAGAGGGGTTAATGGTAGCTAAGCTTGAGTCTGTTGTCAAAAGTAGGTTTAACTTTCTATGAACTCACTGGACACAAAGAATGCTGCCTGCTTACTATTCCAAATGTCACTAGCTAGGAGCAAACGGATGACTACTAATGGTAATTAAATACCTCTGAAGCCATTTGTACCAATAACAAAGAGTTACTGTCAGAACTTGAATGAGGTCCATCTGCCCATTTGAAAAGAATGTTAACATTATATAAGCGATAAAGCAGACAGCAACAACTAAATAAATAAGTTTGGTGATAACATTTCTCTAGATGAACACTTGATCTTTGGTCTTGCCTTTGGAAACAAGAGATTAATGAAAATATTCCCTAGTCCTTAGTTGTTTCAATCCCAGTTTGGCCCAAAAAGTAATTAGAAGGAGATTTTTAGTAAAGATTCTTCCATCTACATTCCCAAAGCTGTGAAAAAAATGGTATGAAATTCTATTTGACTAAGTTTCTTTCTGCCTTGCAAACTTGCTGGATTCAGTTTCTACTATTGGCTGTTTAATTTCATATGCTCTCATCTCCTCAAGTGAAAGGAAAAAAAAGAGAGTGTGGCTTGTTCTGCTTTCTGTCTTCAGAACACAGAACTCCACAATTGCTCCTTCTTGCACAGATGGATTGACACCCCAGAGTTTTTCTTTGGTGGGCTCATCTGTTCAACTGCCCCTGAGGCCCCTGCAAGGGGCCGTCTGACTTCTGTTGGACATCCACGGTGGTTTCCTCTGCATCTTCATCTTTTTCTACTGTGACGAGACAAAATATGAAAAGATATTGCATGAAAGAACCAAAGGGTAAAGAATATCTAAATGCTTTTGAAATGCACCTAAAATCCTAGAGCAGCCAGAATAAAAGCACACAGAGAGAGGGTTCTGAGAGGGAGCAAATGCATTCAGCAAGCCTTTGGAAAGGCAGTTTCTTGTAAAGATATGGACTTCATTAAATCAGTCAAAGGATCTTTAATAGCTCTCTTTTGCCAGGAGGTAGAAGTACTTGTATATCTGATGGCTCAGTTCTAGTGAGAAGAGAAAGTGGCAGGTGAAGAGGAGGAACAGCAAGGGCATTAAAAGCAATTGTATAGTCGGGGTGAGTGCGTAGTGAGATCGACATTTGTCTATGCCTTTACATATGCTTAAAGCAGTACTGGTGATGGAATGGCTAAACAACATCTGGGAGACACCGAGATCAAAGCTAAGAGAGAAATATGGGTGTATACAATCTAAAACAGCAGCCTGTATCAATTAGGTCTTTTTATGTTCCAAATAACAAAAAATTTAAACTGTCTAAAACAATGGGAGAACTTGTTGACTTACATAAGTGGGAAGTGTAGAGGTAGGGCAGGCTTCAAGATTGGTTTCATCCAGCTCAACGGTGCCCCTAAGGACTCCGTCTCTTTGCTCTGCTGTTTGTTCGTGGTGTCAGCTTTATCCTAAGCCTGATTTTCTGCCGGGTTACAAGATGGCTGCCAACAGGTCCTGGGACTGCATTCTTTCTCATAGTATTGGTGAGATACACTGGAGAGAGAGAGAAGTAGAGCGTTTTTCTCCCAACCAAACAAAAGTCCTGGATTTCACTCTGATAGGACCAGTTAGGTTATGCTTGTGATGAGAACAAGCTCTACTGATTAGCAATTCAGTGATCACATCTGGAATTGGGGATAAAGGATCAATGACGCAAACTGCAAAATGGTGATGGTGGGGAGAAGAGCACTGGAACAGATGTGGCAAGGCAGATCACAAGGAACACCGTGACCCACGCGCACCAATTCTGCGTGGTTCCTAAGAAAGGAGACATACCAGCAAGTAAAGGTTTTCCCTTCTTCCTTAATAGATTTATCTTAGGAAAATTACAGTGTTTTTCAAAATGTAGTTCATGGACCGAAATTATAAGCATTGCTTAGATGCAGATTCCTGGGTCTTTCCCATGCCTTCTGAATCATAATCTCTGTGAGTAGCAGTTGGGGATTTGCATTTTTAGCAAGCTTCCAGTGGTTTTGATGCCCATTAAAGTATGGAAATTTCATAGAAACTTGTTCAAAGGTAAAGGTATCAGGAGATTTTCTTCTTGCTTTAGGAAGATGTGATAGTTTCTTACAGTACCTTTACCAAGATGATACCTGTCTTTACCAAAATAGCTACCAATAGGGGCCAGCCTGGTGGCACAGTGATTAAGTTCACAGGTTCTGCTTTGGCAGCCCAGGGTTTGCCGGTTCATATCCCAGGTGTGGACCTACACACTGCTCATCAAGCCATGCTGTGGCAGCATCCCACATACAAAATAGAGGAAGATGGGCACTGATGTTAGCTCAAGGCTAATCTTCCTCAAAAAAAAGAAAAAAATAGCTATCAATAGTTGCTACCCTAATAACATCTCATGTTAATGTGGACCTTATTTTATCTTAGTAAAATGTAAAAGACTTTTAATAAAGCTATCTATAAAATGACATATAATATGTTTTATGGGGGGAATAAGTCTAGCTCTTTAGCATTATGCAGGTAAAAAAATGATGCATTGCATTTTTCTCTTTTTAAGGGATGCTTTTGGAATTATCCACATACACTTAAACTTCATCTTAACTTCCTTTTGGATCCAGTGCTTCTGGTAATGCTGTAATTATAAACATTTACTGAGAGAGATGATTCTCTACTACATTTGGAAAAGGGGCAGGTAACTTCTAATTTTACTTGGCTTCTTTATATCAAGTAAAGTCTTGAGAGGAAGAGAAAGAGGAAAAGAAGAATGAAGTTTTGTTCTCTGGCTGACCAATGATTTACAGGTAACTTTTCTTCACAAAATTGGTTTATTTTGATTAATTTTTCTCAGATCCTGAGATAGGTAGATAACATTACCTTTATTATTCTCCTATATGATCCTATATTCAAAGCATGAAGAACCGGAGAGAGTTTTCCAGTGGGTTGGTGTGTTAGGAATAAGATTTCTACAAGAATTATGTGCACAGATTTTAAACTTATTTGTTCATTCAAAAACACTACTGTGTATCTAATTGTGTATCTATTACTGTGTATCTACTGTGCTAAATGTTGGGGATACAGTTATCAGTAAAACATATGTGGTATCTGCTCTCCTGGATTTCATAGTCTAGTACTGTGATATCCAAGATGGTAACCACTAGCCATATGTGGCTATTTATATTTAAATTTAATTAAATTAAAATTTAGCTATTCAGTTGTATTAGCTACATTTCAAGTGCTTGACAGCCAAATGTGGCTAGCGGTTATTGTATTGGACAACACAGATATAGAATATTTCCACCATCACAGAGAATTTCACTGGACAACACTGGTAGTAGAATGAAACTGACTTCACTGTAAATCATGGTTCCAACACTCAATAGTTGTGCGATCTTGGAAAAGTTATTTGATTTCTCTAAACCTCAATTTCCTGACTTGTAAAATAGGCATATAATAGCTATGCACAGAGTCACAGTGAAGATTACAAGAGACGAAATTGGGAAGGCTTTTAGGTGAGTGTCTAGCACATGGTAAACATTCAATAATTCTGGACTATCATCACCTTCAGTACTGAACATTCTGTTGATCATAGAGGCATTTTAAGCTTCTCTAATTTCCATCCAGCAGACCCTGGAAGGGCAGAAGACAGGTCTTGGCTGTGGTTCCCTTGTCACTCAGCCTCCATTCTAGAGTTCTCTAGGGAGGTGCTTTTAGACCTCTTGTGCTTGTTTACTTGAACTATGAACTTTATTGGCGTCACAAGTCGCTCTCTCCATATATTAGACTGCTTTTAAATATGAGAGAATTTTGAGAACCACCCAACTCCTTCTTCTTGTATTAAATGATAAACCAAGGGACATAAAGATATTGTGACTTAAAAAAAAATAACATTGTAGTCAGTGGGCACAGCTTATTTGGTAAATTTATTAACATCTTAGACAGAGTTACCTGCTAATAGAGGGTAGCAAACAGTTTTATCTCCAAGGCCAACTGCAACCAGCTGGTAGTAACTTCCAATAGAGCTTTTGAGAAGTGTTTCAAGGCCTATCAGAACACAAGAAGCAACTCTGTGATCAATTAGTGATGCCTGCCAAGGGCATGGGAGTTAGGGAGGATTGGCACAGATTTATATATTTATCAACTTTTTTAAAGGACAGGTTGATTACAAAAACAAGCAGTGATTTGGCTACTACTGCTAATTGCAGCCATCTTCAGAAGATTAAAGTTTATGTGTCTGAGGTCTCAAATCACTTCAGGCATTCTTTATTTAGACTTTAGTCCCATGTACCATTGGCTACACCATCTGTAAATGAGTCTATGGTATAAAATCCTGCACTACTTGAAGGTAGAGAGCAGGGACTGTTTTGCTTTTCACTGTCCATTAGTTAGATCATGTGACGAGATCTGAGATATATAATTTATACTATTACTTAGCTCACAGATGAGTGAGAGGTGGGAAGAAGTAATCAAAGACTTAAAAATCTTCCTGAAGTACAATTTCACTATGTCACTCCCTACTCAGGAGCTCACAGTGGCTCCCTACTACTAATAAGTATCTCTTCCTAGCTTGCAAGATATTCTCTAATCTAGCTCCACAGCCTATGCTTCTAGCCTCACTTTTCACAACTCTGTAGCAGCAATAGTACACTTCAGAGCACCCCAAAGCCACACACTTCCCAGCTTATTTTTCTCCATAATAGTTCTATGTGTGTTGGTTTGATCTTCCCAATCAGATTATTTGCATTTAAAAAGTAGGGCTACCTCTTACATATTTTATAAACTTCCCAATGCATTGATTGCAACACTAAGTAGGCACTAAGTGGTAAGACCCTTGATGATATGGGCTTTCTTAACAGTTACTAGGCTCAATAAATACTTGTTGATTTTTTGTCATCGTTTTTTTGCTGAGGAAGATTAACTCTGAGCTAACATCTGTTGCCAATCTTCCTCATTTCTAGCTTGAAGAAGATTAGCCCTGAGCTAAGATCTGTGCCAGTCTTCCTCCACTTTATCTTTGGCTTGCAGCCACAGCATGGCTGATGAGTGGTGTAGGTCCATGCCCGGAATCTGAACCTGTGAACCCAGGCTGCCAAGGCAGAGTGCAATGAACTTAACTGCTACACCACAGGGTCAGCCCCTATCTTGTTTCTTGATTGCAGCATTTCAATAAATGTTTGATTGATTCCCTGATTGAAAAGAAAAACCAAAGTAATATATTACTGTTATTTTCTATGAGAAATTCATTGCAGTGGCAATTCTGTCTGATTTGTGTAAAGAAAGTAACGTGATGTCTACAACAGGGATTGATTGACATTAAAATAGAAATACAACATTCCTGGGGCTACCTCCATGATGTAGTGGTTGAGTTGTGGACTCTCAGCTTTGGTGGCCTAGGTTTGCGGGTTTGGATCCCGGCACAGACCTACAACATTTGTCAGACATGCTGCGGTGGTGACCCACATATAAAGTGGAGGAAGATTGGCACAGATATTAGCTCAAGGCTAATCTTCCTCAGGAAAAAAAAATAAAAAGAAAGAAATGCATCCTTCTCTTAATAGTATTCCTACTCAGCTTTCTGAGAGAGACCTGGCTATCTGACTCCAATTTCTGAAGCGTGATTTATGGTATATTATGTATAACTCACAAGAACAGGGAAACTCTGGACAGATATCTCTAGGCATATTTTATAGCTATAAATCATGGTTAATAATGACAAACTTAAAAATATAGACCCTTCATACGTGAAAAGATTTGATTCATAAACACTTTACCCCAACATCGAAAATTTCTCTTACCTCAATATGCTGTAAAGCAGTAAAACAATTATTTAAAAAATTGGATGCTTTCACAAGTTTTTGGACAATGGATTAAAATTGTCTTAGAAAGAGAATACTATGAACTGTACATGCCAACAGACTGGATAATCTAGAAGAAATGGATAAATTCTTAGAAACATACAACCTTCCAAAACTGGACCAAGAAGAAGTAGAAAATTTAAATAGACCAATCACCAGTAAAGAGATCAAAACAGCAAAACCTCCCAAAAAATAAAAGTCCAGGACCAGATGGCATCCCTGGTGAATTCTACTAAACATTCAAAGAAGAATTAATACCTATTCTTCTCAAACTCTTCCAAAAAATTGAAGAGGAGGGGAGGCTTCCTAACTCATTCTACAGAGCCAACATTATCCCAATACCAAAACCAGACAAGGACAACACAAAAAAAGAAAATTACAGGCCAATATCACTGATGAACATCGATGCAAAAATCCTCAACAAAATACTAGCAAATCAAAGACAACAAGACATTAAAAAGATCATACATCATGATCAAGTGGGTTTCATTCCAGTGATGCAGGGATGGTTCAACATCCACAAATCTATCAACGTGATACACCACATTAACAAAATGAAGAATAAAAATCACATGGTCATCTCAATAGATTCAGAGAAAGCATTTGACAAGATACAGCATCCATTTATGATAAAAACTCTAAATAAAGTGGGTATAGAAGGAAAATACCTCAACATAATAAAAGCCATATATGACAAACCCACAGCAAATATCATTCTCAATGGAGAAAAATTGAAAACTATCCCTCTAAGAACAGGAACCAGACAAAGATGCCCACTTTCAGCACTCTTATTTAACACAGTATTGGAAGTCCTAGCCGGAGCAATCAGGCAAGAAAAAGAAATAAAAGAGATCCATGTTGGAAAAAAGAGGTGAAACTGTCACTCTTTGCAGACAACATGATTTTATGTATAGAAAAACCTAAAGAATCCACTAAAAAACTTTTAGAAATAATAAATGAATACAGTCAAGTCACAGGATACAAAATCAACATACAAAAATCGGTTCCATTTCTATACACTAACAATGAAATAGCAGAAAGAGAAATTAAGAATACAATCCCATTTACAGTTGCAACAAGAAGAATAAAATACCTAGGAATAAACTCAACCAAAGAGGTGAAAGATCTGTACACCGAAAACTATAAAACATTGTTGAAAGAAATCGAAGAAGACACAAAGAAATGGGAAGATATTCGTGCTCTTGGATTGGAAGAATTAACATCGTTAAAATGTCCATACTTCCTAAAGCAGTCTATAGATTAGATGCAATCCCTGTCAAAGTTACAAGAACATTTTTCACAGAAATAGAACAAAGAATCCTAAAATTTATATGGAACAACAAAAGACCCCAAATAGCCAAAGGAGTCTTGAGAAAAAGAACAAAGCTGGCGGTATCACACTCCCTGATTTCAAATTATACTACAAATCCATAGTAACCAAAACAGCATGGTACTGGCACAAAAACAGACACATGGATCAATGTAACAGAATCGAGAACCCAGAAATAAACCCACACATCTATGGCTGGCTAATATTTGACAAGGGAGCCTAGGGCATACCATGGAGAAAGGAGAGTCTTTTCAATAAATGGTCTTGGGACAACTGGACAGCCACATGCAAAAGAATGAAAGTAGACCATTTTCTTACACCATGCACAAAAATCAACTGAAAATGGATTAAAGACTTGAATGTAAGACCCGAAACCATGAAACTTCTAGAAGAAAACAAAGGCTGTACGCTCTTTGACATCGGTCTTAGCAGCATATTTTCAAGTAGCACGTCTGACCGGGCAAGGGGAACAAAAAAAAAGTGAACAAATGGGACTACATCAAACTAAAAAGCTTCTACACAGCAAAGGAAACCACCAACAAAATGAAAGCACAACCTAACAATTGGGAGAAGATATTTGCAAACTGTATATCAGATATGGGGTTAATATCCAAAATATACCAAGAACTCATACAGCTCAATGACAAAAAACGCAACAACCCAATTAAAAAATGGGCAAAAGATCTGAACAGAGATTTCTCCAAAGAAGATATATGGCTGGCCAACAGGCATATGAAAAGATGCCCAACACGATTAGCTGTCAGGGAAATGCAAATCAAAACTACAATGAGGTATCACCTCACTCCTGTCAGAATGGCTATAATTAACAAGAGAGGAAACAAGTGTTGGAGAGAATGTGGAGAGAAGGGAACATTCATACACTGCTAGTGGGAGTGCAAACTGGTGCAGCCACTATGGAAAGCAGGATGGAGTATCCTCAGAAAATTAAGAATAGACCTACCATATGATCCAGCTATCCCACTGCCGGGTGTTTATCCAAAGAACTTGAAAATGCAAAGGCATAAAGATACCTGCACCCCTATATTCATCACAGCTTTATACACAATAGCCAAGACTTGGAAGCAACCTAGGTGCCCATCAAGGGATGAATGGATAAGGAAGATGTGGTATATATACACAATGGAATACTACTCAGCCATAAGAACTGATGAAATCCGGCCATTTGTAACAACATAGATGGACCTTGAGGGTATGGCTGTGTGAAATAAGTCAGAGGGAGAAAGTCAAATACCATATGATCTCACTCATAAGTAGAAGATAAAAACTACAAACAAACACACAGAAACAGAGATTGGATTGGTGGTTACCAGAGGGGAAGGGGGATGGGAGGAGGGCAAAAGGGGTGATTAGGCACATGTGTGGTGATGGACTAATTAGTTTTCAGGTGGTGAACATGATGTAATCTACACAGAATTCGAAATATATTATGATGTGCATCTGAAAGCTACATAATGTTATAACCCGATGTTACTGCAATAACAAAAATTGTGTTAGAGTCATTTCCAACCCAAACATTTATTTATTTTCTTTTGTTCCAACTAAAATCATGAATGATTTAAAGAGGAAAAGTGAAAAAGGGTGGATATGGTGAAGCTAAAGTGATATTGGTTTTATCAGTAAAAACAAGTTTACATAGGAATTGTTAAACATAAAAGAAAAGAAAACAACTTTGTTTAGCAACAGATAATAGGCAAGTGTAAAAACATAATTTTGTAATATTACTGATGATTCTGGGGAAAATTTACTCATAGTACTACATTTAAATCACAGAAGTAGTAAAGTGATTTGAATTCTAGAGCTGTAAAAGTATGTGGTTTGCTTTCTCTTTCTCTCTCTCTCTCTTTCTCCCGCCTTGTCTCCCTGTCACTCCTGATTATATAGATTTAACCTTCTTATTCAAAACAACAGTTTTACAACAAAATTCCAATATGGAATTAAATCCTGGCATACAAGTGCACAGATAACTTTTTTTGATGAATGAAAGTTTGGTTTGTTTTGGGTCCTTCCCTGGGAGGCCGATATCTGAATAGAATATGGCTAGAATGTGGCTGTATATCCATATTCCTGAGTAGGAGGAATGCTGTGGCTCTGGTCTTACTCAGTTACCAGACACCACCCAGTGCACGAGCCTCTTACTTCCACACCTTTCCACATCATGCTTTATTGCTAGAAACACTCTTCGGTGCCTCTCTCACCTCCATAACTTCTGTTTATCCATTAGGCCCTGATTAGCCCCCACACACCCCAACACATACACACACACACACCCTTTGGCCAGGCCATGGACCCTTTCTCTCTCAGTCTTCTCACAACACTCTGGACTTGCCTCTGTCATAGTAGACAAAGCCTGCACTGTCACTTATCACCTCACTTGATTTTCTCCACACTTGCTCCTTGAGGCCAAGGAGCTGTTTTTAAATTATATACAACGCCAGCACCTAGCCCAGTACGCAGCATTGAGTAGAAACTAGAAACTCTCTGTGTACAAAATTCTTCAGAATTACTGAATAAATAAACGCAGTTTTATCATTACATCATTAAGTCTTCAAAGGCAAGAACAATATCTGACCGGTTTACTCATCACCAATGCCTAGGGCAATCTTTTGCACACTGACTTGAAAGAAATGCTCGCTGTGGGAATTGAATTGTTACTTTCAGGTATAGTCAATAACTACAATAAGGTCCTTGATATTTCCTAACTAGTAAAAGTTGGGGCAGAGGGAAGCAGGTTTTCTCAACAGAGGATGCTGGCTTGTAATTTTTATAGAAATTATTGGTTGATGCTTCTAGAGCAGGCTTTTCAAAATTTGTCTGATGGTGAGAATCATCTGAGGGGCATTTGCTGAACATATAGCTCTCCAGTCCCGCCCCGGACCTAGTGAGTTAGAACCTCCAGGAGCGGAGATTTCCTATGACTCAGGACTTCTGGGATACTATTCCTACGACTTGAAAACAGTTTCATCTAAGCACTTTGATAGCCACAGTTGATTCTCAATATTATGAATTTGCTTTTTCTTCTGATTGTACAAAGGACATTCTAGCTTAGTGCATCAGAATGACTCCAAATATGGAAACATCCCAAATTAGTGGGAGTCCGTAATAATCAAGATTCTTTTGTGAGCCAAATTTTCTGATTTGAGTAGCCTCGTGCCTGATCAAATTAAATTTAAATGCAAACTCAAAAGGAGACAGTGAAGGGGCTGGCCCTGTGGTGTAGCAGTTAAGTTCATGCGCTCCACTTTGGCAGCCCGGGGTTCGCCAGTTCAAATCCCGGGCATGGATCTATGCACTGCTCATCAAGTTATACTGTGGCAGATGTCCCACATATAAAATAGAGAAAGATGGGCACAGATGTTAGCTCAGGGCCAATCTTCCTCAGCAAAAAGAGGAAGATTGGCAGTGGATGTTAGCTCAGGGCTAATCTTCCTCAAAAAAAAAAAAAGAAAGAGTGAAATTTATAAAGCATCTCATCCTACTCTTTTGTCCCAATGCTTTATAAATGATTACAAATTCAACGATGGTCCTTCCCAGTGACAAATGATTCTCTTTGTGTCAGCTGGCACAATGGAAGTGTCTCCCACTCCTTTTGCAGTTGGTTACAGGAATTATTTTTCAGAGAGTGATTCTGTATACCCTTTGTTGTCGTGTGTGACTTTCTAAACATCACAGGTATATATGTTCCTGGTAAAAGAGTGTTGCATTAACGAATTAAAAAACAAAACAAAACACGTAACCAAGCTAGCGCTCGAGACTGTCAACCTCCTGTCCCCAAGATTTCTCTTTAGGAATCACTTTGAGGACTTAGGGACCAAGGAGGAAGGTGAGAAGGGCCTTTACCAAGGATTTGGCCATTCCTACAAACTGATCGTACTCACCAGGTGAGTCTTTAATCTCTTCCCTTGTACGCCAAACATGTACACATGCGTCTAACAGCTCCCTGCCACCACTGTAAAGCGAACTGTGAGGAACAAAGGACATCAGCCTTCCGGTGCTGAGGGGTGAGGTAACCTGCAGAAACACACAAGACCCAGAACAAACAAGGAAGAACGAACTGACTAATGAACAGGACAGGAAACCAAACCAGAAAAACAAACAGGCAGAGAAAGCAACTGCTGATCAAACAAAGGAGCAGAGAGACTCTGCCTAGCCCAGGAGTCTGCCCTCACCTGGGGCCCACCTGCTGAACAGGTGAAGGGAAGCGGCTGGGGCTGAAGCCTTTTGTGGGTCCCGGCTCCCTCTCTTTCCCACCCTGAAACAGGTAGGGTGGCAGAGCAACCAGGAGAGCCGCATCTGTGGTTCTGTGCTCTTTTTCCCTGATGGAAGACCCATAAATACTTTATTACCAAGAGCCCACAGACAGGGCAGTGGTTATAGCAAACAAGTAGGCAGGATGGACTGAAACTTATCAAAGCTGTAATGCACCTGGATTAAAAGAAAGCTTCTGCTTGCCACGCAGCTAGGTCCAACTGCAGCCCTGTTAGAGGTGAGGATGACAGTATGAGCGATTATAGATAAATATTTGTAATTTGTTTGCAATACAAAAATCCTTTCTTTGGGAGCTCCAGTGTAAATGGACATATGCATATTAACCACAGCTAACAAATATGTATTGAGCATCTACTTCGAGCAAGACACGTTTTGGCCCTCTGTTGAGCCAATGCTGTATAATGTACATGTTAAAAATATTTTATTAAAGACAGTCAGCCTGACAGTCTGCGTCAGGTGCATGTGTACAAGTGCCTGAGGAGACTGATTTTATTATTAACATTTGTTTCCCAAATGCTCATTTGAAGTCTATTCAGGGTGGGGTAGAGGTGTGGGTGGAGAATTGTTGAAGAATATTCAAAAAGACTGATTCTTTTTAAAAAGGGACACAATGAATTTGCCATTTTCTGATTCATGCACAGCTTTTCTTAGTGGAAATACCCAAATTCTATTTTCTTAGTGAAATTATATTTGTCCTGCTTGAAAACACTCTTGCAAATTTTCTTAAGGAAAAACCTTCAAAGGTAAGTTAGAATCATTTCTATATTTTTTTAACTTTAGAGTGATTAGAGGGGGAAATGTTTTTCATGGCTATGGAGCCAGAAGTGAGGTTGATGAACAAAATTCAAGCCAAGAAATCTTCTGTATTTCCAAAAGATGAGGCACCAATTTGGCTTTGCGATTTCCAACAGCCAAAGAAAAAAGGGAAACACTGCTAGTGACAAGGTCCAGTACATACATGAAAGCAAAAAAAGAAAAAGACACCTTCTCAATCAAAGAACAAAAATATGGATATTGAGACCAAAGAGGAATGTCTTCCAAAGCTGCTCTTAGAAAGGATTTGGAGCAATAGAAGAAAAAATATCTTGCACGACATCCTTATGATAAATATCCTTTGCCTCATTGTTAATTTTTAATTTAAGCTATCTTGCTGAATTATACGCATTACTGTAAGAACTTAAATCTATTTGGAACAAGGTTGAGCTAAGTGGAGAGAGAGAAAAATATACCAGCGTGGATTAAGAAATGGAGACGCAGCCTTCTGGAGCCCCATTTTTACTGTTTTATAAGTGTCTGTCCAGTCTCACCATATTACTTTTCTATGAAAAACTGTGAGAATATCTTCTTCACTCTACAAATGAAAGTCCTTTTGGATTACTGTGCCAGAGAAATAAAAAGCTGTGGCTTTCTTAGCCCTGACAGTTCTGGACCCTCCCTGTGGATGTTCAAGAAAAGGAGCTAAGTCCATCTCTCTCCATTCATGTTGACCTTTAAAGAGAACACGCCATAGACGATAGTGTGGCACTTGAGCTTATTAAAAAATATCCTTCTTTTTTTCTCCTCCTTGGACATTTGCTGTTTTCCCAAACCTGGCCTGTACTTTCCCATCTCTGCATTTTTGCCCAAGTTAGTGTCTGTCTATGGAACACTTTTTCCTTCTCACCTCTGTGCCTTGTTCGCGTATAGAAATCATATCATCTTTCTAGGTCAATCCAAATGCCACTTCTTCCAGGAAGCCTTGCCCACTTACCAAAACTCTTGCCCAAATCTCCCAGAGTCCCCCAGGTAACACAGAACAAGGACACATTCTGCATTGCATTGTGGACACCTATGGCGAAGCTTTATTTTCTCAATTAGATCAAAAGTTCCCTGAGTCACTTTTTGCAACTTCCTATGAATCTGTAGTTCTTTCAAAGAAAAGTTTAAGTTAAAAAAAGAATTCCCTGAGGATATTCCTCTTTCTGCACCCTTCCCACCAAGGGTCCAGAACAGTGACTGACACTAAGCAGCAGGCCCTTTCACAAGGCCTGTGGAGTGGATGTCCAGGGATGGACGTTGAAGCAGTACATGTGAATGGGATTAAACTTAGAAAAACCTGGGTTTGGGTCTTAGCTTTCCTTCCTACTTGGGAAAATCTGTGACAAATCAGTCTTTCTAAGCCTCAATTTTTCATCTGTCAACCAGGAATAATAATAAGTCACTCCACTGGCCATTGTGAGGCTTAAATGAGATAATGAACATGCCGGTATTTCATTAGCTGTGAGCCCTATGGCACTGTTAGTCAATGCTATGATTGGTGCTACAGCAACTGTGCATACACAACCATCAGAGTTGCTCTTGGTGCCAGTGAGTTGTAGGTGGTATAATTCTAAGGCATTTTTAGCTTGGCACCCCTTTCTATCTCCTTGTCATAGTTTATGACATTCTAGGAGCACTGTTTATCTTTCCATCCCTCCCAACTGTCCCCTAAATGACCTATTCTAACCTCTCCTGTAAGACTTAGAGAGAAATAGCTGGAAGAACAAAAAACTGGAACACCTTCATAAAGTTGTGCTCTGGAGTGGTTATAACATGACTGTATATTAAGAGTCAACACATTTCTAATTTAATTTATGCTCTGAACATTGTTATGCATGTATGAAACATTTGTATGGAGAAAGTCCCTAACTTATAAACACCAACTCATGAACAGTCCATTTTTAACAAGGGTCTTAGGTCAAGGACTTCAGCTGTATCCCACAACAAATTCAGACATGGTCTGGAAGCATGGCTGGACAGGCCATTGGAGATCTCTTGGTAGGAGAGAGTGAGGAATCTCATGGGAAGAAACTTCAGTAGCCAAGGGAACAGGATCCAAAGACTGGGCCCAACAACAATGGTACATCATTCTCTGTCTTATTCAAACAGTTCTCTGGCTTAGACCTCAGACCGCCACTTTAACAGGGAAAGTATATTAAAGTAGCTGAATTACTACAGAAAAATGCTAAGAAATGAGAGTCAGAACTGCTGTGTGAGCCCACTAACAGAGTGTCATGGAGGGGGGACGAGGCTTGGTATCTTTTCCTCTATGGTTCAGAGAGTATCAAAAGCCAAAGTAAAGCAAGGATTAGAAGTTCTGCTACATGTCAGAAGGAGTTGATGATTCCCCTGGTGTAACGTGGCACCCACGTGGCCAGTGTTGGAAGGAGAAGAGGATCATAGTGGCAGAGGAGTTGACCTAAGTGCCCTGGGACATGCCCAGTCATCTCTGAGACAACGTGGGGCAGAAGCTTTGTGTGACTGAGGGATCTGTATTCTAGAGCACTCATGAGATGTACCATAAAGACACCCTGAATTTGAGAGAGAGTGGAGCTGCCATTGTTCTGTGGGTAGGGACTCAGCAGACAAATGCTCTTCATTTTTATTAAAGTAACCCTCTCAAACCCATCTCCAGGGCTTGGGGAACCATAGGTTATTCCTACATAATCTATCCCGCCAATTGACTTCTCCTCATGATCCAACTTCACCCACTCACCTTTGCCATCAGGATCACCATGAACTCATGCTGGCCTGAAGCCATCTTATTTTTCTCCCTCTCCTTTATCTCTAGTTTTAACTACTGCTCTTCCATTTTCATGCTTGAGTCAGGAAAGGAGGAGGAAGGATCGAAGAGGAAGTATCCTTTTGTCCTGAGTTGAAACAAGGAATCCCCTTTCCCATGGAAAGAAAGATGTTCATAGCATGTGGCTCTCAAGGAACTCTGAGAATTCTAGACAAGCTGAATATAGGCTAGTGGTTTTGTTGTGATCCAACCTCCATTGCATTATTATGTCATTCTCACAGGACCATGCAAATTGTATTCCAACCAGCCGATTTCTTCACCAACATCTGCCAGACTGAGAGGTCTATACAGAGAAGAACTTGACTCACTTATATCATATTCCATAAGAGGGCCTCACTTCATGTAGGTTGAATTAAGTCATATAATTTGGGGATCATCTGTTTTAGCCTATACAGTTTGGAGATAGGAAAAACTTTTTCTCAGCCTCAGGGCCTCAATAGTCTGCCTTCTCCTCATTAAGATGACGTTTTCCTGTTAAGTACATGGTCCACACCACTAAATTTTATCATATATATCAATATAAGATACGAAGATAATTAATATGTTTTCCCCTAATTTGGTTAAGTGCTATACTTGGTGGCATTTTTCTTCCATCTCCACTCAATAGTTAGACATGATTTCTTTTGTGCTCAAAATAACAAAGATAGTATTTGGAAGAAATCAGAATGAACGAGCTGATAAATTATTTATAGCAATTTCCAGGAGCCTGCCAATTTGTTTTGTAATGTAGTTGAATCAATTTTTAATGAAGCAACCTATGAAAATCTGCTGAGGTGAAAACCATGACCTCTACATGATACCATAAGAGAGCCCCATTATGTAGCCAGGTGGCACCCTTCCTTCCCCATCACTTCACAAGGGCTTCACCTCCAGTTGACCTTCCCTGGTCCAAGCCGAGGGGAGTCGGTTGGTACAAAACCTGACTAAGACAGGAAAGGTGGAGTGAGGGAGAAGCCCAGGTCTGAAAGGGGATAAAACAAACCACTTTGGGAACTATTGTGTGTCATTTCAAAAGTCTGTTTTGACTAATGCTCTGTGCTATTCAACTTTATATCCTTAATCTGTTGTGTCTGTTTCTAGTTAAAAAAAAAATAATTGAGGGGAAATTAAGGACAATGAGAGA